ATATGGGAGAATACTCCATGCAGTCTTCTCACCTTTATTGTCTTTTTTTCATATTTAGCCGCTTTGCGTGACAAGGGAGATATAAGACCAAAGACATTCGGTACATGGTAAAGTTTCTCTGATATTGTCTTTCCATATCGTTCTAGAGCAACCTCAAGCTACACGCCTTTCTCCTGTTTTGGTATACGCCGCGTATAATATTGTGTCTCAATGCATTCTCTCAAAGTGGACGAACAATTTTATTTGCTGTCTTTGTGTGTATTTAAGTATTGGTTCTGTGCCCACTTTTTCCTCCTAAATAACTTCATTTCTGATCGTAGCTTTTATGGTCACTCTTGCAGTATTTCTCTGAAATCACGTTTCCATGACCATCCAATTTTCTTTACTGGTTTGTTGTGAATTAACATGTCTGGTCTGGTATCTTTATACATGTGTGCATTGCATATCTTCTAGGATTTTGAAGACTTTGTTGGTGGCGACAGTAAGGCGTGGCCAGGTTCGCTGTATGGCTTGCAGCTGCTGAGACAAGACAAGATACCAAGCAATATCTCACGTGAGTTACTGCAGTCATTTTGGAATATGTTTTTTTTTTGCCAGTCAGAACGCCCCCCCCCTCCCACTCACACACACACACACACATACATACATACACTCATATACACTCATACACACACTCATATACACACACACATACACACACACACTCATATACACACATTCATATACACTCATACACACACACTCACTCACTCACACACGCGCACACACTGCTCTGTACATGAAAGAGTAGACCAGAGACCGGCTAAAAAGACAGTGGAGATATACAGGCAGAAGATCTACAAATATTTGGCATCGCCAACTGAAAAGAGAAAGGAGTCCCCAGAGTCGAGTGGAAACGGGCAGTGTCTGCGGTTATAAACATGGCCTGGGATAAGGAAGAAAAGAAAAAATACATTGTGCATATTTCGTTGAACTACGAATCCCCCTATTTAAAAAAAATGTTTGATGCGGTGGGATTCGAACTCCCGCCTCCAAAGAAAGAAATATTCAAGGAATATTCTCCTTCACGTTCAGCGGCTGTAATCTTAAGCAGAAAGTTCTGATCGTCTACTTCTAGACTTAACTCTTGTCCCAGCATTTGAGTTTTGGGTGTACATCAGTTTTACAGACCTCGCTTATTTTTAATCAGACTGTTGGTTCATCGCCTCACAGGCAGATGCACTCTGATTTCAATAGAAACAAAAGATTGTATTTGTCTGTCTCTCTATTTCTGTCCACCTTTATCTCTCCCTTTTTTCTTTCTTTCTTTTTTTTTTCTTTCTTTCTTTCTTTCTTTCTTTCTTTCTTTCTTTCTTTCTTTCTTTCTTTCTTTCTTTTTTTCTTTCTTTCTTTCTTTCTTTTTTTATTTATTTTTTCATATCCTTGTTTTTTCTCACTCTGTTTTACACTCTTTTCCTCACCCAGTCTCCCAATTTGGCTACATATGTGAGAATGGAATGTATTTCTAGACATACTTGTTTCATAAACCATTCAATTGTTGTTTTCTTCACCAGACATCTATACAGGCAACATGTCCCGCCTGGACCTGGGTCTGGCTGTGGACGTGGTCGGCCTGCTGAAGGACATTCTGTGGTCAGAGTCCACAGATTGCAGCCGTGAGCGCCTGGTCAGCGATTACATCATCACTCCAGAGATTTTCCGCTGGCAGCTCAAGAACAGGGTGGGAGGTGTAAGAGGGAATGAATGCATGAGTAGAATAGTCGAAACTAACAATTACTAATATTCATTGAACGGTAGGATTCGTCCAAAAAAAAAAAACCGCAGGCTTAGTCTAAGAGTAGGATCAGCCAATAATAACATTTACTAACATCAGGTTAGGTAACTTTAGGTGGATACAGTCAAAACTAAATTTTTTTTTTTTATTATTATTTAATCTGGCATGAAAAGGAATATAGACTAACAGTTACCATTTTCGTTTACATTGATTATTTTGTTAACATTACCATTGACTTACTTAAAGCCAAATCACCCTATGATCCGAAGATCGTGAGTTCAAATCCGCATTGTGCTGGATTTCATTTTAACGTGATCTTAGCTTCCAGGTCTACCCAGTCTTACCTTGGTCCTGGTAAACTCATGGGAAGTAAAGACGGTCGGCGTTGTGTAGACAACATCACCCATCGAGGGCCGAATTGTCTGAAAAATATCAGTTCACCCTCATATGCCCAATGCGCTATTAGCGTGTAGGGGACTTTCTCCCTCTCTCACTCACTCTCCTTCTCTCTCCCTCTCTCCCTCTCTCTCTCCCTCTTTCCCTCTCTCTCCCTCTCTCTCCCTCTCTATCCCTCTCTCTCACTCTCTCCCCTCTCCCTCTCTCTCCCTCTCTCTCCCTCTCTCTCCCTCTCTCCCTCTCTCTCTCCCTCTCTCTCCCTCTCTCTCCCTCTCTCTCTCCCTCTCCCCTCTCTCTCCCTCTCTCTCTCCCTCTCTCCCTCTCTCTCTCTCCCTCTCTCCCTCTTTCTCTCCCTCTCTCTCTCCCTCTCTCTCTCCCTCTCTCTCCCTCTCTCTCTCTCTCTCTCTCTCTCTCTCTCTCATTTTGATCCTCTTATACTTTACGATGTCGCGGTGACACTGTAAATTATATATCAGCTCACAGAACAGAAGTTGTGATTGACATCAGATGTAACAAATTGCATCAAAACTAAGAAACAAACAAATTAATGAATGTTTGTAGCTTATCAGTAAAAGTTTTAGTTATTGCTAGAGTTTTTTTTTTTTTAAATCTTTATACAAGAGCACTTATTTAACAAATGAGCGAAATATTGTTAGTGCTAGTTTTGACTTCCTCTGTGGGCCTGTATGATGATCTATGTCAAGCTTCATGGGCTGTGAGAAGAAGACGGATTCTATCGTTGATCTAATCCTAAATGGAGACAATGAAACATTCTGAAATGTTAAGATAGCTGGTTATGATATTTGCCACATCGCATGTTAAATGTCGATTGGTCTTTAAAGATATGATACCATTCTCTTTATCTAATGATTCCGGTTGTGGAAAGGTTTTAACACAACATATGTGTAAACTAAAATGTAATTTCTTTTAAAATGCCCAAAAAGCATGTATTTACCACTTTTGTATCTACTTTATTAATATGCTACCCCCAGTTGACGTCACAGGACAGTCCAACATTTTAAAGGGTGGCAAGACTGGGTTTCCCTTCTTTCTGAAGCTTTTAAAGACCCCAAAACATATAGAACTGGCCTACGAGAGAGTGCAGCCTAGGTCCCACGACTGCATGCAGCCTGTCTACCACCCCTGAAATATTAGACTACCTCGTGACATTGTATTAGTTTAAGTATACATTATTTAGTTTTAATGATCTATTGACGAACTGATTTTTCAGACAACCCCATACCAGGGAGCTCTTGGCCAGTATTCATGGGACAAGCAGAACAACTTCAGAACCAACTTCACCATCGATGTTCTAAAGTATAGTGGAAACACCACCAAGGTGATACACAGCATGTCAATTATTAGCAGTGTAATAGCTTAAGCCAGTGATTCCTAAACTGTGTGCTGTGACGCCCAGGGAGCCGCGACCTCTTAACAGGGGCGCTGCGAAATATTCGAAGATACACGACTTGTTTAGATATCTACTCTCTCAAACTGCTGTTCCTTAGTCTCTTGGTATTACCTTTCCATTTGTATCATTGTCTGTCTCTTTTTAGCTTATTTTCGACTTTTCCATCTAGTACTGTTATTAAGTCGGCTCTGTGGCTAAGTCGATGCGAACGCTTCACTTCGTAATGCCGGGATGCCAGGTTCGATCCAAGCTGCGGGCAATGCGCCTTGCGTTGGTTCCGACAGTGGTATCAAGAAAGCCGACCGTCCAGAGGCAATGGCAAACTACTAGATGTAAATTGCCTAGAGAAACCACACAACAGCCAGGGGCTGTTAGGGTTGGTTCTGCAAAGTCCTGTAAAGGATACGCAACTAACTGTTTTTCAAAGAGTGTTATGTCTTTTATTATGGCAGAAAAATTCCACTCGTCTCTCCTTTTGAATTTCCTCCAGCAACTCTCTTCTCATTCTTAGTTTCTTCAGAACCTCAAAATCTTCAGAATTATTCATTGAACTATTCAATGAATGAGTGTTAGGATCCCCTCCTCAGTAAATATCAAAGTTTGTAGAAAACAAAGAGTTCTTGCCTGGCCTCACCATCTTTATTTCTTTACCCCTGTAAGCTCCAGTGCAAAGACCTTCTAATTAAATTGTTCCGAGGTTTTCTCAGTGTGTATCCTTTCCAAAGCCAACGTCTTTTCTACACCTCTTGGTCCACTAGGAATTGTTTAGCTTTTCCCCCAAAACTTTGCATTAGGGATTCTATCATACTATTCAATTCCCTCTATTCTGCGCAGGCACCAGTTAATTCATGTTTATAGTTTATTAATAGTTGTCTTTATTATTATAATCATATTTCTTCTCGTGGTTCTTTCAGTTTATCAAACTGACAACCCTGTCTGGGTTTCGAGCTCCCATTCGTAAGATAAGTTGCCTCCCTTACAAGTATGTCGTCTGAGACGACATAAAAATATATGTGTGTGTGTGTGTGTGTGTATGTGTCTGCATACATGTGAATCCACATGTGCAGGTTTTAAAATGTCTATGCAAGCATGCATGTACTGTTGTGAAGCGCTCCCATGCCAAGCCCTCTAGCCCAGTTGGTTAAACCTGACTGCGCGGCGACCAGGTGACAAACTCCTTGTGGAAGGGTTCACGCCCGGGGGTATGCAAAAAAGCCATATTTCTTTAGATTTACGGTATCAATCATGGAATCAATGCCAAAGGATTGCGATATCCATAGTACCGAGCCAAAGGGTTAGCAACTCATGGTTTCTGGATATTGAAAAAGAAAAAGAGTTCCCACGTTTACTTATTTGGTTTGTCACTCACAGAATTGGTTGCATGTGCTTTGTGTGTTACAAAGACTGCTGGCTCTATCT